ACTTCCTCTAAATGATCAAGTTTGACCGTCTTCTCGGCAGCTTTCGAGCACCAGCCTTGCGGCTGATACTGCAATGGCGCCAATCCGAGGGCTGTACTACACCATGCAATCTGTACTAGCGACGGTGGGCGTGTACAAAGGGCAGAGACGTTATCAGCGCAAGCTTATTACTCGCACTTACTAGAAATTCCTCGTTCATAAGGAACAATTCCAAGCCTCGATCCCTGTCATGACGGTGATTAGCCAGCTTGTTCAACCCATTCGGGCCAGAAGATCAGACTCGTTGGTACCGTCATTGTAGCGTGCGTGCGGCCCCGGACATCCAAAAGGCAGCACAGACCTGCTATTGCTCAATTCCGTACACATTCGTAATGTTTGTCCCTCTAAGAAGTAGACACACCTGTGCTGGACCCACCGCACACACCCACCACAATTCTCGCCCTCAAACGTGCACCGCTTGCCCACTAGGAGCTCGCAGCACACGTAGAGAAACGCATCCCAATCGGCAGTCGGCATATGTAATAAGTTTCGCCAAAGTGCCGCCAACACACGAACAGAAGGCAGGCAAGCTAGAGTCTCGTTCGTTATCTGAATTAATTAGACAAATCGGTCCACCAAGTAAGGACGACCATGCACTGAGATCTTTCCCACCGTTGCTCTTCTTTATTGCACAAAACATAAGTGACCACACACGGAAGTACCCGTAACAGAAAGAAAACCCTGCCCTTTAATCAGGACCGTGGTTCCTTGAGGAATTCTATGATAAAGTGACCCTAATACCACCTACTAACAAATCCTCTTAACTAATTTTTGGTCTGGCCTGATCCAACCGATGTTTAGTATTGCCAGTATGGCCGTTGTGCAGTTGTAGCTTCCGTCCTTGCCAATCTTCTTGCGGTTTTAGCCAATCTTCGCCATTTTGAATGACATCTTGCATTTAATTGGCCTAATTTACATTCCATAGTTGTCGGTGGTCTTTCGAAATTAACGAGATTCCTCTTTTCGCCGCCATAGCTTTCATTCAACCGGCAGCATGTCAGGTTATCGGGCTGTCCTATTTTTTTAAAGTTGCAGTACCCTTTGTGATTTGCTGTGGTGCCCACCTTGACATCAATCTTTTCATCCTGTGTAGGTTTCCTCTCCCGAAGAAACCCTCCCACCGGCTGTCACTGGTGCTCTAAAGCGACTCTATGATCGTCTCCGTGGCCGTGACGCACTTCTCTTCCAGAAGCAGTCACCCTCCAGGAGTAGTGCAGTTACAGCCGCATCATCGTCAGCAGTAGCTCAGCCGCCCCCGCCACCCTCACTGAGCCCTTCTGAGCAGACGGAGGCCTGTATCTAC